AAAAAAATATGAATAAAGCGTGAATCACAGCAAATAAACAAGCAATTATAACTGTAAAAAACATTGCTATTCGCAGCGGATTTTATGAAATTTATCCGTTTACGAGTGGTAAGTTCTCTCATTGTAATATCAAGAGATTCTGTAAAAAAGGAGCTCTTCGTATAGCATTTATTCAATAGCAATGTAAAGAAAATGCAAAAAAAGATGAACAAGAAGCTACTCTGAAAGCATTCTGAAGAGCACTATGGTCAATTAATCAAGTATTGATATCCTTATAGTTGCGAAACAAAACTCAACACTATAAACTTGATGGTTAAACTATATATTACTGATTGGGACTGATCTGAATATATCATACCAGAATGATTTGGCAGACAAGCGACAAAATGGGTTAAGCTTCAATAGGCAGGTGACATGACACACAGGAAGAGAGAGCGGGTATCTTGTCTTTGACTCTTAGAGCTACCTGATGAAAATGAACAAGTTTCAAGAATTCCACCCTATTAAGCATTTACAGTTTCCCTAATCAAACCAATTCCTTCTTCAGATTATAAGGTAAACTTCCAAATTCAGCGGCTTACGCTACAATACAATAGCTTGATGAACAGTTTCTCAACATGGAATAACTAACTAATATATAATAACGATAACTGATTGGGACTGATCTGAATCCATCATACGATTTTCACAAAACAATCATCATTCACACTATTTGTGAAATGTAGTAAATCTTAAAACCCAGTTGCAACCCATTTTTCTAGTAGTTGCATCTCCTCTATAATCTCAGAACTACCCTTTATTTATGTATTTTATATGATATATGTACATCATTATGATAATTATAATAGCATGCGTTAGGTTTCAATGTCTCGCCTGGATACACTGAAGTGCTAAAGCAAACCATTTCTTCCAAATACTAACGACTACATAGTCGTGACTTGTTTTAAATGCTTACAAATTGTGAAAATTATACCTTTGCCACGCTTGCATTGTTTGGAAGTTTTTGATAACAAAGCAGCTGCTTTGAAAATCTCCTTTGTTAAAAAACATTTACTTGTGAGAATTGAAAGAAGAGAGTTTGAGTCATGAACCTCATGAATGCTTTGGCAGAAAGTGTGGAAATATTAGTTTCATTCAACTTTCATAACCATTGTTCACTCATGTTTTGAGCAAGTACTATGTCCATGATTCAGAAAAAGTCGGGTTCAAAAATGTTTTGTCGAAAAATTCTAGTTTCATCGTTTAACTCACTAAAGTATTACTGTAGCTTTCATAATCAAGATGTACAATACAGTACCCTAAAGTTCCAACTACATACCGCTGCGGTGTGTGGGCGTTGGCTGAGGGACATTCGTGAATTCTGGAGGCGGATGGTGACGTCGAGATTGAAGCAGTCGTCGGCAGGTGCAGGGCGGTACTCATGACATCGAGGGACTGATCGTGCAGTATTCCGCGTCGTGAGGTCACGCCCTTCCGTACGTCGAGTGGACATCGCTGACGTCACAACGTGAGCGCGTGGGAATGGACACATACTGTACAAATACCGGATACGCAGATGAGGCGCTTCTACGGTACTTTATGAGGAGGGGGGAGGAAGGGGAAGGGG